AACAACTGAACTAAGAAAAAGTTTTCATGATAGCAAAGAAGTACTAAGAGTAAAACATAAGATAAATACTGGAATGGCAAGTAAATGACCAGCACTTCTACCAGTTTGAGGATAGGCTATCGCACAAAGTTCTAGTGTGTTGTGGACATGCATAATGACCGTGACAGTTACTGGTGGCTAGGCGTCACCATGTGGTTCCATGTCCAGCACCCAGGGCAGGTTGTGGCAAGATGTGACCCAACTGAAAACTCCTAAGTCTGGCCTTTACTGTATCAATTGCTGTCAGCATTCTGGACTTATTCTGAGCTCTGACCAGAATTACATGTTATAACATTCTAGGGCTTCTCTAGCTCAGTTCTCTTAAACTTTTCCAAATTCTTCCTGCAAAGACTTTTTTTTTTCCTGCAAAGACTTCTAAGCCATAGAGGTACAGCCAGAGCCAGAGCCTCACTGATAAGACAGTATCAGTTTCTGTCTTAGTCACTTTCTTCATTGCAGGACAAAATACCTGACACCCACAACTTAGAATATGGACTCATGGTTTAAGGCCATAGTCCGCTGGCTCTAGAACAGAAACAGGATCACAGAGTGCTGTGGCAAAGGGAAACATGTTCAACCCATGGTGGCCAGGAAACAGAGGAAAGGAAGGATCCCAGGACAAAAATACATCCGTCTAGGTCATGTCCCCAGCGACCCACTTCCAACCAGTACCAACCTCTGAACAACACATCCATCAAAGTATGAGCCCACTAACAAGCATAACATGACATGATATAATCACCTCCCACACCTGAGAATTTATCAGCACATTTTTAAGCTATAGCATAAAGCCAAAAGTCAGCTGAAAGAAGAAATAAGTGTAATAGAGACTTAAACAGTAGGAAAAAGCTAATTCTGTGGGTTAAATGCTCAATTTCTCCCAAAGGCCCATTATTTAGAAGGCTTGGTACTCAAGGGTTGCACTGTTGGGAGGAGGTGATATGGACATTTAGAAGGCAGGGCCTTCTAGGAGGTATTAGATTATTTGGGACATGACCTACGAGGGGAGTGTAGAGCCCCAGCCCTGTCCCGTTTGGTTTTTATTTCCTGGCTCTGAGACAAGGTGTTTTGTTCTCCTTATTCCTACCATGTTTATATAAATACCAAGAATAAATACAGAATGACCTCATGCCTACTATTAGGTCCTAATGCATAGAACTAGAAATCAGTGGTAGAACCACAGAAATTATACAGTCTTAAATTATAAATATACTCCTAAATAATCATTGTGTACAGAAGTCAGAAAAAGGGATGGGGATCTAGCTCAGTGGCACTAGCACCTACCTGGCAAGCACAAGGTCCTGAGTTTGGTTCTCAGTACCAAAAAATAAAAAACAAGAACAACAAAGGAAGAAATTAGATATTTCCTGTATTCAGGCAGTAATGCCAGATCATATAGGACACAAAGAAGTCTTCCAAGAGAATTTTACAGCTTTAAATTCCCACATCAAAAAAGCAGTGAGGGTGTGGTAATGTGCACCTATAATCCCAGCACTTGGGAGGCTATAAACAGGAGAATCACTATGAGTCTGAGCTACACAGTGAGACCCTGTACACCCTGTCCTAAAATACAAAAAAAAAAAGTGTAAACATATAACCTGATGATGCCTTTCAAAGTCTAGAACAATCCAAACCCAAAGCTAGTATAGAGAAAGAAGATCAAAGTAGAAACTATAGAGCGAAAAATGCATTTTTTTCTGTATTTTAGGGAAGGGTCTACAGGGTCTTCAGGGTCTTACTACTAGATCAGACTCATAGTGATTCTCCTGTTTACAGCCTCCCAAGTGCTGGGATTACAGGCACATGCCACGATGCCCAGTATCGAAAATACGTTTAGAATGAAAACATAGACTAAACAGACAAACTCTCACCCAGGCTTTTTTTTTTTTTTTTTTTTTTTAGACAGGGTCTCACTATTTAGCCCAGGCTAAATCATTGAACTCAATGATTCTCTTAACTCAGCCTTCTGAGTACTGGGATTATAGGTGTGTACCACCACATCCAGCTCTCTCAGCTAATCTTACCAAAACAGGAGAGAAAAGACTCAAAGCAAGGCAATTAGAAATTAGAAAGATAAATTACAAAACACAGATCACGGGTAGCCCCAGAGCTGAGGAACAGCTTTCATTTTTGCTGAAATCTGAGTGCACCGCTCTCTGAACCCCCGTGCTCTGCTCCAAAATCTGATATCATTCTTTCTCAGTATTGAAGATCTCACCGTCCTGGTGTCTGGGT